GCAGGTGTGTCATGTGTGTGTTTTTGTGCAGATGTGTCATGTGCGTGTCCTGATGGTTACGTTGGAAACGGGGATTTCTGTAACGGCGTCCTGACCAATGTTCTGGCAACAAACAGCAACTTCTCCATCTTTTACAAGGTGAGTTCAGCAGCTGCAGCTGTTCAAGGTAAATAAATTGTTTGAAACTGTTTTTATTTCATGTCAATGTCACCGGCTGACATCGTGAGTCACCATGGTGTGTTTTTGTTTGTTTGTTTGTTTGTTTCTGGGACAGTTTCTGTCTGTTCATTAATAGTTGGGAGAAAACAAGTTTTTATTTCCTGTTGTACTGTGACCTTCACACCGAGGTACATACCAAACTAATCAGGTGCACCGTTTCACCTGTTATCATCTGTAATGACTGTTCAGTTTTTCATGTATTTATATTTTTTTAAGTTTTTAGCATCACAAACGTGTCCCGCTTGTTGTCCAATAAAACCAGTTTTTGCCTTTAATCACATTTTCATCTCAATGTAGAAAAACTGAATTTTTTAAAGAGATCAAAGGGTATGTCAGATCTAAATTAATACAGTCTCTGCTTTCCCTCGAAACCCCCCCCCCCACACACACACACACACACAAAGATAAACAATGCTGTCCTCTAATAAGAGGATGTCTGGCTTTAATCAGGTACATTCCTGCTCTTTTTTCAAACACACTGTAGCTGTTTGCTTTAGAATAATGAACTCTCTTCAGTAAATTATTTGACGTTTTTTTTGTCACGTCTTTTTTTTTTACTCAAATAAATTTTTTCTCTTTAGTTGCTGTTGGACTACAGTGGCTCGTCCTCGGAGGGCAGACGACTCGTTGAAGTTTTGTCCCACAGGAAGTCCGAAGTCACGCTGTTTGTTCCTCATAACTCTGGCTTTCCACAAAACCAGGTGAGGTGCAGCTTTAACCCTTCAAAAGCTGCTGCACTTCAGTGGAAAAAACACTGATCTGGGAGCAGGTGGAAGAGAGTCTGGAGAGGAAGAGTAATGAAAGTAGAAGCAAACTGGAGGTGGTTCAGATCTTCATTAGGAGGAACCAAAATAGACAAGATTACTAATGAGCCAGTCAGAGGGACAACTCGGGTTTGGAGACAAATTTAAAGTCAGGGATTGTTTGGACATGTCCAGGCGGGGGACAAACGATGTTGACCACTAAGTGTCCCATTACTGATTGACCCAGACCAATTTCTTTTGGATTTCTGTTTCTGCTTTAGACTCTGTCTGGACGAGATCTGGAGTATCACATCTCAGCCAATCACAGCCGGAGGCCGTTCAAAGACCTGAGACACCAGGAAGTCATCGCCTCACGGCTCGGGTTCAACCTGACCGTTACCCACGGCAGCAATGAGGTCAGCACACACTCGGACCAAACACGCAGAACCTCGTTCAAATTATTTTACAAATTTACCAATTTAACGTGATTTGGAGCGTTATCTGTGGCAGAACACCAGAGATGGGTTAAAGGTTAGAAATCCAAACCAGGACAACTGGCTGGATTATTTAAACAAATCTGAGACTAAAATTAAAAATAAACAAGAGCTCAAACTGTTGATGAGGAAAAGTGATGTTTACATCAAATAAAGCCTCTCTAATGGGAGTGTTTAAAGAATTTCATGATTATTTAATTAAACTGCTTATTAAACTCGAACAAAGTGTTTCCTGCCATCTGCTCATTAATCCACATCCTAGTTTGTAGCTTTGAGATGGATAATCTGAGGGATTGTTCACAGAGAGCAGAACTCAGAGGGGCGTGGAGGAAACAAAGCATGACCCAGTTTAGTCGCTTCGTTTCCAGTTTCACGGATCAAACTGAGGAGCTTCAACTGAAGCGAACACACGTCATTTCTTGTAGGAATGCTTATCGCCCGCTGCCTCTCCTCTCCTGCCGATTCTGAGACGTCGCGCTCGGAGCACGAGTTGAGGGCGACTCTCAGCTACTACCACACCAAGTTTCAGCTCAGTAATTTCATATTAATCAGCGGTGACTCGTTCCCTTGCAGAGCTGTAAGCTGGTGAACCAGCGGCTGCTGCTGGAGTGGGACATCCCTGCCGTCAACGGGATCATCCACGTCATCGAGGCGCCACTGACGGCCCCCGCCCCGCCGGTAAGATCCACGTAATTTACACCCCCCACCCACCAAGACCTGTTTTCAGATGCCACCTGGACTTTAAACCTGCTCACAACCTCCAGGAGTCAATCCGCATGATGATTGAGGGAAATTAAAGCATCAGTCTCCATGGCAACAGAGAAAACAGAAACTTAAACTGTTTAAATTAGACACAAATCCCTGCATTAGTTTACGCTCCGCTCTTTTCACAATCAGCTTTACTGTCATTGCACAACAAAATTACATTTTCAGTGCAGCCCGTCCAAGAGAACAACATAAACAAGATAAACAAAAACTGACGTGGGGAGACGGAGGTGACTGAGGCCGCCGGCCTCGGGAGGCGCAGCCTCTTTTCCAGATAAGGACAAAGAAACACGAGGCGGAGGGGACGTGTAAAAAATCTAATCTTGCATCGTGTCCTACGGGACACAGTGTGCAAGTTGTAAAAAAAAAAGACCTCAGCGCATGAAACAGTAACATGCTGATGACATCCAGTGGTGGAGAAAGTACTTAAACACTGGTACAAATAAGCAGACAAAAATGTACTTCAGTAAAAATGTTAATGTGGTACTTCTACTTTTACTAAAGTAAAAAATAAGTACATGCTTTTAAAAATACTTAAAGTATTAAAAGTAAAAGTACTTGCTGAATGTATTACCTAATGCAATGGTCTACAATATCATAAAGTGTGTGTACCGTTTGTATATTTTCTGTAATACATTAATAGTGTCGTTCCATTTTAACGACCGATGCTGCAGATAATACATGTTTTTATTGTGTTTACTCTGTGACACAGTTCACAGCTGGACTTGTGATTCTGTGTCAGTATTTCAGGGATGACCTGCAGAGTTAAATGTCATTAAGCAAAATAAGAAAGGAATGATTTTACCTTTGAAAGACTTTATTTAACAAAGTAAAATCAATGTGTCATTTTAACCGCAGTAAAACATTTAAGTAAAAGTTGTCTGTCTGGAAAAAGAAGCATTGAACACCTGACAAAGGAACAGGCTCTGATCAGTTCAACTCCAGTTTGTCATCAACTAGTTCAAATACCGTCTAGTCGACCTTGTAATGGATCAATAGTGAACGATATTTAACTTCCTGACTCCATTTTCAAAACTTGGACCTGAGTGTCGAGACATTTGGAGACACGTCTTGTCTCCTAACATCATGAACGGACACATTTTAATATCGCAGCAAGAATTTCTTATTTCTTATTCAAGTTCAGAAGAAGGTGGTTTGCAAAGTTTTTTGAGTCCAGTCTGGAACTTTTGAGAGAGAATCTGTCCTGCTGTACCGAATAGTCTTTCAATAATCTTTCAATAAGGCCATGGGTGGCACATATCTTCTGGCTGACTCTCCACAGTGGAATCCAGTTTGGGTGTGTTAGTGGTGCTGTGGGTGCCCCCAGCTCAATGACGTATATACTAGAATATGACGTACTGTATATACTAGAATATGATGTTTATACTATAATATGACGTTTATACTAGAATATGCGTCATTGGTCCAGCTCTTCTTGAAGGTGGGTCTAACGTTACCTGCCCACTTTGCAGTGACTCAATGGACCAACTCTCCTCTCACCACTCGTTACTTTCAAACTAACGAACAAATCAAACAACCGCAACATGAATGTAACTTGTAACACATTATAGAAATGTAGTGTGGTAGAAAGTACAGATACTTAATGTAAAATGTAGTGGAGTAAAAATCTAAAGTACCATGTTTAACAACTTAAGTAAAGTACAGATACATGAAAAATGTACTTAAGTACAGTAACGGAGTACTTGTATTTAGTTACATCCCACCACTGATGACATCATAATACATTTAATACATTTATGCGTGAGGAGGCCGACGAGGGCAGGGAGTTGATCGTGGAGACTGCCAGAGAGTTCCATAGTCCTGATAAGAAATGCCAGTGTCTTTTCAGCTGGTTCAACTCTGACAGATCCACAGACGTCCTCGGGAGGGGAGCAATAGGGGAGGGGGGCAGAGCTTCTCGTTCACATAAACAACCAGGAGAAGTTGAGACGGCTGGCCGGTTCAAGGCCGAGTGGGGAAGCCAAATTCAGATCACACAATTATTTTGGGTCAGGCAGATTCTGCTTGAATTTCCGTGTCTGCCTTTGATAATTCTGCCGGTACGTCTCACTGGTGATTCCAAACAGCTGAATTTTGTGGTCACACCGCTGGACCGAGCTTGTAGCCTTCTCCAAGGCCGATTTCTTCCCACCATTGAGTCCCAGGAGCCGCAACTTACGGCTCAGCTCATGAGTCTGAGTACGTACCGCTCGGTGCATTCCTTTCATGATGGGCAGTCTTACCAAGGCAGAGCGGCTGCCGACATCTTCAGCATTCGTCCATAAGCCAGGTACCACCAACTCCAAAAAGCAGAAATCCTGTTGATCATAAATCCTGTTGTGTCTCTACCTCCTCGATCAAGAATACTGCCAGACACACGATCTTCCACTGCCAGGAATCCATTGTGTATTCAGCTGTTGGTGTCTCGTCCAGGCAAGAGGGCTCTCCTTCACCCCGTCTTCTCATCAAGAGAATTTTATCAACTGCGTTGAGAGACCAGCTGACCACATCCATAATTTATTATTCGGAGGATATGTAGCGAGAGACAAAGAGCAAAGCAGGAGGGAGGGAGAAGCACCTGTCCTCGTCGAGAGCAAGCAGGAAAGGCTCCCCAAAGTCAGAAAAAGATTAATAAAAATTAATTCACGGAAATAAAATCACCACTCGGGCTATGAAGATGCCGAGATATTACGTTAAATATGCTGCGTCTGCAGGATGAAGAATCATTTAAAACCTCCTGAACCTTCTAACACTCAACGTGTAGACTTGCAAAAAGTGGAAAGTAAATAAATGTTTTGTTGGTTGGGTTTATTTTATACACATTAAAGATTCTAATTATAATAAATAATTCAGTTTGTTTTAGAGGAGGGGTTTTACATGTTCCTACCAAACATTCAGATGTTCTAAAGTTGTTATTTTTTTACATCAAAGTTGAAAATCAGATACACTCTGTGACGCATTCTGATTGTTTCCAGGCAAACCACAGCGCCAGCCGAGGCCACGCCCACGCCACTGGTGCAGTGTCGGCCATTTTGGTGGTGCTGTTGGCGTGCCTGTTGGCTGCAGTCGGATACTACCTCTTCAAACACAAGATGGACGCCTTCCGCTTCCACTATTTCAAAGTAAAACACACACCTGGTTTGAGTTTTATTACGCTGTTTATGAACCAAAGGTTTGTGGCTGATGCTCCGACAGATTTAGGTTCAATGCTAACCACAGGTTCAGTTTCATTAGAGGCCAACAGTGGGGCGTTATACAGTTAATAAATAAGATAATTAATCCTTCATGATTCAAAAGGCTGCAATTACAAAACAATTGTTTTTTTTACTTAAAGTCCACAATTAATATAAAAATAATAATTAGAGGCTGCTGACAACAAGTAGCATACATGCTAACTTAACATTGAAAACACCATAGAAAAGCTAACAAGGCTAGTTGTTTATCTAGATTTATATACAAATGTTTCAAAGTCAACACTAAAGATGGCTGACGATTTCATCTGTTACAGAGTCCATATTTCATTTTAAAGCGACGGTTTCCTGTCTGTCACACTCATGTAATGATAATCTGAGCAAATTACACCCTTTTAACTAAGTGCAGGGCTGTAAATGCGAACATGAAACCACGGGATTATCTAACCAGGTTCAGTCAGGTCCTCTGGACAGACTCGTCTTTGTTGAAATGTTTCGTCTTTTATCCAAAGGACTTCTTCAGTCACGTGGATTAAAGTTCTCCATCATTTTGAACGTGGCCAGGATGGAGTTTTGTAATCTGTAAAAATGAGGGGGGCATGTTTGTTGTGGTCTTTTTTAATTTTTTAATCCAAGCTATGATGCAGGGATTGAACTGACGTTGCCTTCAACCAATAAACAGAACCAGAGCTGCAGTTTGAGCCAATCAGAGCAGAGCAGGGCGGGTCATGATGTCTGATACACAGCAGGTGATCACAGAAACTCTGAGACAGACGACCTTCAGAAACTGTCTTAATAATGCAGGTTCAAGTTTTCTTACAACCTCAACATACTGTGTACTTTACTACGGTCATGTACACAGTATACTTGTATACCTCTATGTCCATGGTGTAGTCTACGTTCTTGTAGTGGGTATACTGTGCTTAGAAACCAAAGTACACTGGTTAGTACAATGTAATCGTCAATTTATTTTGATTTTTAAGTATGTTAAACATTTCCAAATTTCTCTGATGCTTTTATTTTAATAAATGAACAAACTTTGTACAACAGCTGACTTTGTATTAAAAACATGTTGTAGAATTTATAAAATAGTATCAAAGCAAAACATGTTCCAAGTATTAAGTACAAACCGGATTCCAAAAAAGTTGGGACACTTAAATTGTTAATAAAAACTGAATGCAATGATGTGGAGATGGCAAATGTCAATATTTTATTCGTAATATAACATAGATGACAGATCAAAAGTTTAATCTGAGTAAATGTAACATTTTAAAGGAAATATATGTTGATTCAAAATTTCACAGTGTCAACCAATCCCAAAAAAGTTGGGACAAGTAGCAATAAGTGGCTGGAAAAAGGAAATTGAGCATATAACAAACAGCTGGAAGACCAATTAACACTAATTAGGTCAACTGACAACATGATTGGGTATAAAAAGAGCTTCTCAGAGTGTCAGTGTCTCTCAGAAGCCAAGATGGTAAGAGGATCACCAATTCCACCATTGCTGCGCAGAAAGATAGTGCAGCAATACCAGAATGGTGTTACCCAGCGTAAAATAGCAAAGACTTAGTTATCATCATCAACCGTGCATAACATCATCAAAAGATTCAGAGAATCTGGAACAATCACTGTGCGTAAGGGTCAAGGCCGTAAAACTCTACTGGATGCTCGTGATCTCCGGGCCCTTAAACGTCACTGCACCTCAAACAGGAATGCCACTGTCAAGGAAATAACAGAATGGGCTCAGGAATACTTCCAGAAAGCATTGTCAGTGAACACAATCCACCGTGCCATCCGCCGTTGCCAGCTGAAACTCTACAGTGCAAAGAGGAAGCCATTTCTAAGCAAACTCCACAAGCTCAGACGTTTGCACTGGGCCAGGGGTCATTTAAAATGGAGTGTGGCACAATGGAAGACTGTTCTGTGGTCAGATGAGTCACGATTTGAAGTTCTTTATGGAACACTGGGACGCCATGTCATCCGGACCAGCGAGGACAAGGATAGCCCAAGTTATAATCAACGCTCCGTTCAGAAGCCAGCATCACTGATGGTATGGGGTTGCATGAGTGCTTGTGGCATGGGCAGCTTGCATGTCTGGAAAGGCACCATTAATGTAGAGAACTATGTTCAGGTTCTAGAACAACATATGCTCCCATCTAGACGTCATCTCTTTCAGGGAAGACCCTGCATTTTTCAACACGATAATGCCAGACCACATTCTGCAGCAATCACAACATCATGGCTACGTAGGAGAAGGATCTGGGTACTGAAATGGCCAGCCTGCAGTCCAGATCTTTCACCTATAGAGAACATTTGGCGCATCATAAAGAGGAAGGTGCCACAAAGAAGGCCCAAGACGATTGAACAGTCAGAGGCCTGTATTAGACATGAATGGGAGAGCATTCCTATTTCTAAACTGGAGAAACTGGTCTCCTTTGTCCCCAGACGTCTGTTGAGTGTTTGAAGAAGAAGGGGGGATGCCACACAGTGGTAAAAATGGACTTGTCCCAACTTTTTTGGGATTTGTTGACGCCATGAAATTTGGAAACAACAGATTTTTCCCTTAAAATGATACATTCTCTCAGTTTATCAATCAACCTTTATTTCAACAGGTAAATCCCATTGAGCCTCGAGGACTCATTTACAAGAGAGACCTGATTTCAACAAAGAAAGATGACAACAATGGACAACAGCAACAACAATAAGCAGTTATAAAAACTCATACTACAGTTTTTTTTTTTTTTTTTTAACAAATAGGATGGCTAAAAGGAAAAAGGTAACAAAACCAAAAAAACTGCTAGATTCCGAGACAAATGTATAAAACTAAAAACAGGAACATGTCTGCATTGGTCCCTGCCAGGAGTCCAACAGATTCAAACTTTTGATCTGTGATTTGTGTTCTATTCTGAATAAAGTATTAGATGTTGGCACCTCCACATCATTGCTTTCAGTTTTTATTCACAATTTGTTTAGTGTCCCAACTTTTTTGGAATCCGGTTTGTAGTAAGTGCAGAATTATATAATAATTTGTGATAAGTGAATGTATAAACAAGCGCTGCATACAGACAGATTGTTACAGAAGCGTTTAACTGCCGTTTAACGCATCAATGACACATGTCTAATGATGTGTCATGTATCTTTGGGTACTTTAGTGGGTATACTGGAATTCTTAAGCTTTTCTAGTGGGTGTACTCCGTTTACTCGTGTATCGCAGAGACTACACCATTGCTCTATGTGGGATTTTTCTGCTTTAATCCTGAACCAGCTGTTGGTTCTTGTCTTGATTCTTTAACATTTTTTATTCCTCTGTGACAGAACGAGGATGAAGACGCAGCGCCGGGCGGTACCAACAAACCCACACTGGTTTCCATCCCCAACCCACTGTACAGCGGCTCCAGAGCCTTCGCCGAGCCATTTGGGGTGAGTCGACCGATCAGAGCATTTCAACCAGATCAATAAATTAACCAGAAAGTAGATGTTCTTCAGCTGTCACTGAAACTAAATGCTGCTGTCACAGACGAGGCCAAAGTGAACTCAGATTCTGGTGAGGTTTGTACCACAGTCCAGCAAACGGGAACCATTCACAAAGTTCTGCTCCAAAACCACTCAAACTTTAAACTTGACCTGGACTTCTGGAGAACATTAATGTTTGTATCAGTTTGGCTGACAAAGTGTAAAAACATCTATAACAATGTTTGAACTGCTTGGAAAGTGTGATTTTGAATCTCCTGATTCGTGCTCATTAATCCAGGTAGAAAAATCCATCAAAGTAAGTCAGGTCCTCTGGACGGTTTCTTTTGAATGAACTGGTGATTTTGAATCATTTTAAATGGTTCCTGTTGATCCAACTACTCCATAAGATGTTCCATCTAAAGCCTGACTGATATATCGTAGGGCCGATAATTTAGGACAATATAGATGTTTGGGTACCTGTCGGTATCAGTGATATTGGTCCCATTATGTGCCGATATAAACACTTTTAATTTTCACCCCTAAAATGCTGGAACCAGCTGTAATTGCACCAAGTATCCAGCAGAGGGCGCATGAAGACTAGTTTCAAGACATGGCCGTTCACTTAAGTTTCACTTTCATCACAGATGAAGCAGGGAGCAATACTGTGTAGAGTATTTTGCTTAACAGAGCATGGTAAGTTTATTTTAACTGATCGGTAAAATAAATCAGCAATAATAAATTCTCTTCAATCCTCCAACCCACTCGTCATTAGCTACGTGCCTCTCACGTTAAGAAGCTAACATTAGTGTTCAGTTGCACCACCTTCATGACATTAGTCCCGCAGTCAGTTGTAGGAACCAGTCCTGTAGGTTGAGCTTCCAGTTTGTTAGAACATCCAGTGTTGGTAACATTATCTTTATCGTCCTCAATGAAATGAATCGTTTGTCTGAAATCTTTACAAAGAAAAATAAACACTGCTGCAGTCGGTACTAATTAGACCTTCAACATACGTGACGGATTAAACGATGAACAAGAAGAGCATTTCTTTGTTTAATTAATATTTTTGTAACACACTTGATAAATTTATGGTGAATAGTGGAGGACAGAAAATGTGAATGCACATTAAGAAGACTGTTTTTCTGACCAGTGCACCACTGGTAAACCTACTGTGGGTTTAGGTATAGAATCAGAATCAGAATAAACTTTATTATCATTGCACCGAGATACAATGAGAACATGTACGTACAGTCGTCTGAAAGATGGGCGGAGTGCACGAAGCTGCTGCCATAAGAAGCGCGGCCTTCTTATTCTTATTCAGAATAATATTTCTCTTAGATGAGAAAAGAAAAGAAAACATGAGGAGAGACGGTATAAAAAAAGATCTCTCACTCCGTGTCCTAGACAGGGCACGATTTGAGGCATCAAACAAACCTCCCACAGCAAAGCAACATAAACAGACGTTATACATGAACATATAGGCGGTGAAGACAGAGAATTTTTAAGGGAAAGTCGTAGCAAAGTCCAGAGCCCCCCCTCAGCCATTGTCCAGATAAGAGGTGATGTTCATCTTCAGCTCAGTTGAGGTTCTGTCACATGTCCTTGGGGAAGGGAGGGGTGAGGAAACAGTCAAATCATCTTTGTTATTTTCTGAACATTCCAGGAGGAGTTGAGATAAGTCCAGCGTCAAGGCCACAGTTCGGGGCAGGCAGAACTCGTGAATTGTTGTTTCTGCCTTTTCTAAAGTCTCGCTGGTACATATCCTCTGATGGAACTCCAAAACAGCCGAATTGATTCCTTAAATTCGAGCTCACAGCTTCTCCAGATTATTCCCACCTTCATGTGTGTGCTGCTAGAGAGTCCACAGTCCTGATAACAGCTGCTCCGTCTCTGACGCAGCTCCACATAATTCAGTCTGAGTGCTGCCGAGCTTCGACACATCCACACAAATTTATAGACAATCTAGAATTCACCAGCCAAACAGCAAAATAACGAGTTGTCCTCATGAATCCAATTTGTTTCCGTCGAGGTAAGAGTGTCCTCCTGACCCTGACTCCTGTCAGGAGAAGTTGATGGCGTACATCTGATTTGTTTAGCTTCATGGTTGCTAACAGCTGCACTAAATAAACAAGCCTCGCTCCACTCGCTGTTTTCTTACATTGTTGGGGGCGGACAAAGAGCAAAAATTTCCAGCCATTATGTCGGTTATCAGCATTTGTGGGCCCTCTCAATATCGTTATCGGCAACAGCCAAAATGTCCACATCGGTCAGGCTCTAGTTCCATCTGCTACAGGTAACATGTTGACAGAACACGTTTCAGAGCTCAGCAGTCTAATTTCTGAAGAGATGTTCTGTGAGTCGCACACGAAGGTCAACAGTAGCCAAACCAGGACCTGCTCATCATTTTCAGGCGTGCGAAAGAACGCTAGCTGATGTTAAACCTTTAAAGTTTAGCGTGTCGCCGTTTTCTGAACTGAGCAAAGTCACTGAAATGGTTTAGGCTCATGGTGCTGCAAAAACACCGTCTGCTGGAGCTGAGGAACGGTTTGAACCGATACGTTCAAGAAAAACATTTGAAGTAAAACGGACAAACGGCACAATTCAGAAGTGTAAAGGTTGTGCTTCTGAAGCCTTTTTCTGTTTCTCCGTGCTCTGCCACAGCTGATAACGTACTGATTGTTTGACAGACTGTCCCTTCAGTAGATTTTGTTTTCTTACAGGACGGGGGTCAGGAAGCAGAGCCCAAAGAACCCCCAAACATCCTGGAGCTGGACCAGTAGAACCTCTTCTCTGATGTGGTCTTGTTACATAGCCTGATTAATAAAGATGGAGTTTGTTTGTGAACAAAATGTGTTTTTCTTCAACCCTCAGCACTCACACTGCACATCACACCTATAAACAGTTAATATCTTTCCTGTTGCAGGTAGCTCACTAAACTTCAGTTTGAAGAGTTTAATCTGACAAGACAGACCAGAATAAACTCAGATCTAGCGGTGTTCAGACTAACCATTTGTCTTCACTGCTGTCAGACGTAAATCTCCAAAGAGGTCGTTTAGACAGTTATCTTCAGCAGGTAAGATATTTAAATCATTTACCTAGAAACACACATCTGCATGGTCAAGATTTTCCCTAAAATCCGTCTTTCATGACCACCAGGAGCCAACTACTGTTACTAAACTAAAAAAAAATATATACCGTAATAAGTAAAACTCACCTGTGCAGGTTTGGTGGGAGTTTAAGGTGTCGGGACTGATTTGAGGCTCCCCCGGATCATGATCTGTTCAGACAGCAGAGGAGTTTCATCTTTTAAAGAATGGACTTCAAACACTTCTGGAGTCTTAATATGAACAACAAGGAGTGGACATCCCTGCATATTCACCCTGAAGGTCAGACCATGCAGCTCACAGAGAAATGAGCACTATCTGACTACAGCAGGTCAAAGGTCATGGCCTCCTCTCTGAAAGCATGGCAGGAATGAAAAAGGTTGGTAATCTCAATCATCCAGGTAGATGACAACAACAAAAGGTTAACCCTCTGGCATGGTGTTGCCCTCGGGCAACAAACCACTGGCCCCCACGCCATACCCTGAATTTTTTTTCAAGCGAAAACTCCTTTCAAAAGTCTGAGGATAAGTGTGACCAATCAAATTTGAGTTTGGAGAGCACGTGACCTTTTGTCTGGGGGTGGAACCATTGACAGATCTATACTAGATGCCTCGTTGAGCGGGCTGGCCTGCTGCAGCGGTTCGTCAGAGCGTCCGCCAGTTTAAATGTGGCGGAACTGCCGGTCATTTAATACAAAGACATGGACTGAACTTCACAAAGCACCGTTCTACAAAGTGTTTTAAGTTGATGCCTGTCAGTTACACACCAATATATTTGGAAAACAAGCTCCAAAGACAACATTTGTCACTTAACATTCTCTAGAAGAAACCTGAGGGAGACTGGAGACTGTAAGGTTGTGGCAGGGGAGAGCGTGACCAGACAGCATCGGATGTTGTGTGTAGAATGACCGTTGTTGTGAAGAAGAGTCAAATCAGAGAAGAAGACCAAATGGTGGAAGATGAAGAAGGAAGAATGTTGTGATAAATTCAGAGAGGAGCTGTTAAAGACTCTGGACGGTAAGAAAGAGCTTCCAGATGCCTGGACTGCTACAGCAACAGTATTAGAGAGACAGGTAGGAAGGTACTTGGTGTGTCATCTGGACAGAATGGATGATGAGGAAACCTGGTGGTGGAACAGTGAAGTGCAGGATGTCGTTCACGATGATACCGGTAAAAAAAAAATCTTGCCCGGGAAAATAAATGATATTATAATATGCTAATTTCATGACGTAAATACGTCAGTGTTTCCCCTACTCTAATATAAGCGGGGCACCCCGCCCCGTTAACAACCAAACGCGCCACCGAACAACTGCGCAACCCACCCCACACACTAATGTAACGTTACGCTAGCCGTGTGCAATGTAGCTAAAAGGCTAAAGGCACCGCTCACGCTGAGCCCCCCCACACTGTCTCTCAGTTCCACAGTCCATGGAGCAAGAACAGAGTCAGGTGATCAGAGTCAGGTGATCAGAGTCAGGTGATCAGAGTCAGGTGATCAGAGAAATGGATCGTTCCTGCAGGAACAGAAGAAGCTGAAACACCTCAAGCTTCAGGGTCACATGATCACCTTGTTACAACTTGTGGAAGTTATAGCTCATTTGAAAAAAAAAAATTAGGGGATTAGGCACCAGACACTTTTTAAAAGGAAAACTGCTCAAACCATTTTTTCAAGTTAATCTGAAACGTTACATTAATTTAAAAAAAATCTTTTTTTTAAGGAATGCATGTCACCCATTTGCTTTTTTGTGCCAAGGTCTAAATAAAAAAGAGCTTTTGTGATCAATTTGTTCTCTGAGAGCCCTATGTTCATGACTCTCAGCTACTACACTAAATATGAAAAACTGATTGAATTTAAATTATTTCATGTTTGCCAAAGTTCAATAGTTGTGGCAGCCATCTTGAATCAGGTTCACTCCAAGTTAATCAGTAGATGTACATCCAATAATTACTTTCATAGAAAACAATGTCCAGTGGTTTGATATTTTATTAAATGCACTCAAAAGCAGACCATTACATGATCGCCCTCCTTTAATGGCAGTCATAAAAAGCAGTCAGTTTCTATATATATATCTATATATATATAGATATATATATAGATATATATATATATGTGTGTTTTACGATTTGGTTTCCCATTGGTTTTGCATTGGTTTCATTTCCCTCGTCTGTTCCGTTGCACGTCTGTCCAAACGGATAATCAGTGCTTTGTTTAAACGGTTGACGTGTTTTTGTTTCTGCTGAGAGCAGCCATGTTGTTGGAGAGGATCTCCATGTAGGAGACACTTGGTTTTTTTGCTGTGTCTAACAAAAACCAAGCCCTCCCTCCCTCTCTAGACCTTCACCTTAAATAGCTTCCCTTCACCATATTTACTCCTTTAGGACTTGTTTTTTTTAAATACTCCTGAACTTCTCCCTCTGCTGTCGGCTCATTGCCTCGTCTGGGAGGAACCGTGCAGAACCGGAGCAGGAGGCTCAACCGTTCAAGATGTTTTTAGAGGAGGCGATCTGTGACGAAGCTGCGGTAGAGCTCCCTTCCCCCCCAACACACAAAGAGCCGAGCTGCAGAGAGCAGCTTGGAAATGGTTTCGCCTGGAAAGCAACGCCGTGGGGGATGAGGAGGGGGAGAAAAGACCAGAGACCCTGACCTTCCAGATCAGCTGACCGTCTGCCGCCACGGAGGACCTTGGAATCAGTTGAGACTGGTTCTAAACATCCTTATCACTTCAAGGACGCCATAAAAACAACCCCACAATCTGAAGAAGACCTTGGATAAGTCAACCGGTTCAAGATATTTATTTAGAAAACCTCGTCTGGGTGGCAACATTTTTCTGCTGCATCTCAATTAATTTCCATCTCGAGGGAATGCACGCTTTATAAGACGATGTCCAACAACCTGTTGTGTCTGGGAATGATGCTCATAAACACGGCATCATTCCCAGAAAGGTTTTAATTTACAGAAAAAAACATCCAAAATGTTGAAGTAACTCAGATGATCCTGAACGTGGTGCTGAAACGCTGCCACAAAAAAACAACAGGAAACGAGATGTAGAGCATTAAACTTACGCATCCGGTACAAATCGTAGACTACATGGATTAGACTGCGTAAAGGGGTGAGATGGTGTACAGGTAGGGCTGCCGACGAGACCAGAAAATCTCAGCTTCAACTCCCCACCACAAGTAATGGTGCGTGAGCAAGACCCAATCTGTAACTGCACCCCGAGCGCCTACGTAGCTGCCCACTGCTCCACCTGGGTGCATCGCACGTGTGATGGGTTAAATGCAGAGAACTAATGTCGTAACTGTATGGGAACATGACACATAGTACACTTACTGTTTGAACTGCGAACAAAACCAAGAACCAAATCAGTTTGGTGGCCTGAAGTGAAACTTCTGTTTTGTCTTACTGAAGTAGGTCCTTCTCAAAAAAATGAGCATATTGTGATAAAGGTCATTATTTTCCATAATGTAATGATAAAAATGAAACTTTCATGTATTTCAGATTCATTGCACACCAACTGAAATATTTCAGGTCTTTAATTGTTTTAATACTGATGATTATGGCATACAGCTCATGAAAACACAAAATGCCTGTCTCAAAAAATTAGCATATTTCATCCCACCAATGAAAGACAAGTGTTTTTAATACAAAAAACACCAACCTTCAAATAATCATGTTCAGTTATGCACTCAATACTTGGTCAGGAATCCTTTTGCATGAGTGACTGCTTCAATGCGGCGTGGCATGGAGGCAATCAGCCTGTGGCACTGCTGAGGTGTTATGGAGGCCCAGGATGCTTCGATAGCGGCCTTAAGCTCATCCAGAGTGTTGGGTCTTGCGTCTCTCAACTTTCTCTTCACAATATCCCACAGGTTCTCTATGGGGTTCAGGTCAGGAGAGTTGGCAGGCCAATTGAGCACAGTAATACCATGGTCAGTAAACCATTTACCAGTGGTTTTGGCACTGTGAGCAGGTGCCAGGTCGTGCTGAAAAATGAAATCTTCATCTCCATAAAGCTTTTCAGCAGATGGAAGCATGAAGTGCTCCAAAATCTCCTGATAGCTGCATTGACCCTGCGCTTGATAAAACACAGTGGACCAACACCAGCAGATGACATGGCACCCCAGACCATCACTGACTGTGGGTGTTTCACACTGGACTTCTGGCATTTTGGCATTTCCTTCTCCCCAGTCTTCCTCCAGACTCTGGCACCTTGATTTCTGAATGACATGCAAAATTTGCTTTCATCCAAAAAAAGTACTTTGGACCACTGAGCAACAGTCCAGTGCTGCTTCTCTGTAGCCCAGGTCAGGCGCTTCTGCCGCTGTTTCTGGTTCAAAGGTGGCTTGACCTGGGGAACGTGGCACCTGTAGCCCATTTCCTGCACACGCCTGTGCACGGTGGCTCTAGATGTTTCTACTCCAGACTCAGTCCACTGCTTCCGCAGGTCCCCCAAGGTCTGGAATCGTCCCTTCTCCACAATCCTCCTCAGGGTCCGGTCACCTCTTCTCGTTGTGCAGCGTTTTCTGCCACACTTTTCCCTTCCCACAGACTTCCCACTGAGGTGCCTTGATACAGCACTCTGGGAACAGCCTATTCGTTCAGCAATTTCTTTCTGTGTCTTACCCTCTTGCTTGAGGGTGTCAATGATGGCCTTCTGGACAGCAGCCAGGTCGGCAGTCTTACCCATGATTGTGGTTTTTAGTAATGAACAAGGCTGGGAGTTTTTAAAAGCCTCAGGAATCTTTTGCAGGTGTTT